ACTGCTCAAAGGGCGATACATCGCTCATCTTTTCCGAGATTGTCAAGCTGCCCGATTCAATCCGCAAGAATTTCGTCAGATCAGAGACGACCAAGTCAGTCGCAGCCAATTAACCGCCACTTACGCTGAAATTCTAGAATGAGAGGGGCCAGAATGAGCCGCACGAAGCGTGCCATCGCGCGCATTGTATTCCTCAACAGCAAACCCGAAGACAAGTGGACACAAGCGCGCATTGCCAAGCTCTTGCACGTCAAAGAGAAGACGGTGGAAAATGCCATTCTCAACGAGTACCCGACGGACAATGCGAACACCGACTACGACTACGTGGATGACGATCTCAAGGCGGCGTTTCCCCCAGCGGTAGGTCCATTATATTTTTTATGTTCCTCTCAGCGATGCTCATGAGTGCGAAGCAGAGCAAGCGCAAACGCGCACAGCACTATCTGACTGAATCGGTCGAGGATCTCGCTGAAGGAAGCGTTCAAGTTTCGAAGAAGCAGAAAGCGATGAATGCAGATAATGTTACCGGGGAGGGGGCATCCAGTTCAAATGTGGTCAGCTCACTTCTGGCGGCTAGCAAAAATTAAACGCCGTGCAGGGTCCTCGACTCCGGAAGGTCAAGCAATCGACAGTGCCCTCGGCCCTCGTGCGTTTTCTCTCTCCATTAATAAACTCTATCAATCCAATTTGCAGAGACAGAGAGTTCCAGAGACTGCGCACCTCAACGTATTCCTCGCCCAGTCCATTGCGCAGATCGACATCCCCAAGTACCTGACTGTGTTCAAAAAGCGCGGGATCAAGGATCTCCAGCGGCTCCGCACGATTGCTCAGTGGGACAAGGATACTGTGCGTGAATCTTTGAAACGGCTTCTCGGAGAGCGAATGCCAGCCGAGGGAGGGGTGGCAGACTCGGAAGGTCTCGATGAGTTTGAGTTGATTGTGTTGGAGAATGCGCTGAAAGGTCTCCGACCGGAGTGAAAGATGCGTACTGTATGGAAGCAACTGGTTTGGCCGTGAGAAGGAGAGATAATGTACACACGATTTAGGCGATATAGATGTTTCAGATGCTCGGAATGTTCTACCAGTAGGGACTCGGAAAGTTTCCTGGCGAGTTGGCACGCAAATCTTAGAATAACGAAGTTCGTCAGTCAGTCAGGATCACGGCCTCGGGGGGAAATGGCCGCGGAAGAACAAACGCGAAACGGTTTCACCACTTGTTCAGCAAACGAGTTTAAATTTTTCAAGTTTCACAAGAGCGAGCACTCAGGCCTCAGGCCTCAGGCTTTCTGTTGCTCCGGTGTAAGAGAGCGAGCACTTCCCGTTGGCGAAACAGTGCGTTCCGAGTGCGCTCTGTCGGTCGAACTGGCCGCGGCCACGCGATATCAATCACGGCCTCTGTTCCCCGTAGCCACTACGCGTCCTCAGCCGGAATCCAAATTTAGCGCCAGAACCGCATATATAAGGGCCAGGTGGAGCAGGATCCGGCAGTTCACTTACACTCATGCACTTCACCGCCCTCGTCTCCTTCCTCGTCGTCGCTGCTGGCTTCGTCCGCGCCGCAGACGACAGACTCCTTTATAAGATCCCTGCTGGAGACACCATCGACCAGTTTACCTCCGAGTACGCCGTTTCTAGAGTGCAAGGCGCGCCAGCGTCACGGTCTCACCCGTTGAACAGCTTCAACACTGCTTGCTCCACCTGGCAGCCCGCCATCGACCAAGGTCTCACGTTCGTGGAGGCACTCGTGGAGCCCGGGGATTTCTCTGGGAAGAACGCAGACAGTGCGTAGCTCGTTTGTAGAGTTTTTTTTGTACTAACTTGGCGTTTTTCCACCCTCCAGCTGAAGCCAAGATCGTTTGCGTGAGTTCAAAATATTAAGCTGTAGTATTTTTCTTGACTCGTCTTAGGCCTGGGAGAACTCGAACGACGTGATTACGACTTTCACGGAGGACGTCGCGACTTCGTTGGGAGCTACACCTGCTTAAAATTTGCGTCCGATGGATTAGACCCAAGTTGAACTGATAAAATAAGATGTGATAGTATGCATAGTGGAAACCAAAGACCTGTAATTTGAATGAACAGGGTGAAAGCGTGTTGCAAGCCGTGTCGTGGCGGTGCTTGATGTGACAAATTCCACGTGACATTGTCACGCACTCTCCTCTGACCACCACGCTCTGGATTCACCATCGACCCACAATGTATTTCGACCCGAATGAGCTTGCATTTGCGCTCGCGCTCAGTCTCCAGGAACTCCACCCCGACGAAAGCGGCACCTCCAAAGCTCCCCAAGCCGGGCCTTTGCGTCCCGCTGCTCCATCTCAGCCCCGCTCGAACCCTGCTCGTCGCGGCCCCACACAGTTATCGAACGAAGAGCGCGCCAAGTTGGACCAAGAGCGAGTTGCAAGACAAATCAAGCGCCCCCGCGAATCGTCCATACTCCCTCCCTTTCCTCAACAAAAGCGCGTCAAGCTGACTCGGGGCGCTCGCCAAACCTACCCCGACGGTGCGATCCTCCGTACCGATTCCGACTACGCGAATTCGCCCCAGACACCCGGAATCACCTTTCCCGAGCTCATTGGACCTAAAGAAGACCTTTCCTTGGCCATCTTTTCCGCGTTCGTCATCCAGGAAGACTGGCTCCTGTCGCACTTTGAAACAACGACTCCGATTATTCTTGTTGGAGACGCAGGGAAATCGGGCATGCCAATGGAGAAGACAAGTGAGACGTACGCCAGCATTCCCTCATCCTTGAGTTTGACTTACTTACACTCGCTGATAGCCAAATCCGCGAAATCAGTGCAACTCGAGTCCTGGTGGCCCCGCCCGTTGAAACCCACCTCAAGAACGCGCATCCTATAATGCACATGAAGTACATGCTGCTCTTCTCGAAATCGGGTGGCCTGCGTGTCGTCATAGCCTCGGCGAATCTACTCTGCCAAGATTGGGATGCCGTCGAGAACGTACGTCCGCACGCGATCACATCTGTACTCACTCTGATCTTTGCTGTAGTACCTCTTTGTTCAGGATCTCCCTCCCGCTACTCCGGGCGCCGATACCGTCAAATACCGTCCGGGAGAGATCCCAGGAGAGGCATTCCCGGAGGTACTTGCGGAGGTCTTGTGGGCGACGGGCGTGGAGGATGGGTTGATACACCTGCGACTGCGTAAAGTGCGTATCCTGAAGCATCAACTGCTATCCATAATAATTCCTTCGCTGCAGCTCACCAACCTTCCCCTCCTGACCCTGCTACGCTCACGGACGAAAGATGGAACGATGCGTTGTCCGCTGGAAACTAAATGGGACTGGAGCAAAGTAACGGTACTTCTCGTCGCGAGTCTTCCTGGTCGGTGGGACGGATGGAATCAGGTGGTCAGGTATTCCATTCTTTATCCCTCCTCTGTGTGGAATTCCTGACGCGGAATCCATGGCAGATCAGGCCAGACACGTCTCCTGCGCGCCGTGGAGCTCATCGGCGCCTCGCTAGACGATTGGGTAACGCCTCCGACAGACAAAGGAAAGGGCAAGAGCGCCGTCGTCGTCGCGACCAAGGGTAAGGGTAAGGGTAAGAATGCAGCTGCGGGTGGGAAGAACAAGCAGCCGTCCGTCTCGGTGGTTGCGGTCACGGGAGATAAGCTCCAGCTTGACATTCAGGTGCGTACATTCCATTGCTCTCCACTGGCGACTGACTAGAACATATTTCTAGACCGCTTCTATGGGCAAATATGAACACGGGTGGATTGCGCTGTTTCGGCTGTGTGCGGGTGGGCGCCGGGCGGGTCTGAGTCAATGGCTGAATCGCACAAATAAAAGAGTATGCACCTAGATCCTGGCGCTCCTATCGACTGTTTACTTACCTCGCGCTCGTATAGCTTCCGCAGCTTCCCAACCTAACGAACATAATTTTTCCGACTCTGCGGACGATCCGGGGGAACGTCACTGGCGAATTGGGCGCGGACGAGGTGGTGTGCCAGGAGGAGTTCTGGAAACATATCCAAAAGATGGTGGGTTATCGTCGTCGTTTTCTTACATGGCGTGGTTAACGCGTCAATGCGTAGATGGGAAACGCGGGAATTACGATGTGCGATTCGCGCAGTCGCAGTGGGCCGGTGACGACGCATACGAAGGTGATTATCGTTCTTCTCGATGACCTATCGTGCCGACTATTCGCAGATGATTCTTGGAACGCTGCCTTACTTGGCCAAGAACGCGCCGGAGGACAGCGAAACCGAGTCCGAAACCGAAACCGAGTCTGATACAGAGGACGACGAATCGCGCGCGCGGCCGCAGATGAGGGTTCAAGTTTCTCGTCCGCCGCCCTGTCCGGTTCCCCGTCTATGCCCACCCCCACACGCCTGGCTCTACCTCGGATCGCACAACTTCTCCCAAACGGCGTGGGGTTCTATCAGTCGGCAGCCTGAGGGTGATGCACCGGTCATCACGGTACGTGTCTTGGCGCGCTGGCCACGGGAAGCTGACCACGCCTAGGTGCTCAGCTACGAAGTCGGGATCGTTATGCCGCTCGAATCGAAGCAGGACGTGGATAGGGTCGTGTCGTGGAAGCATCCGGCACCGCCGTATGCGCAGGACGACGAGCCGTGGGTGCGTAGCGCTTCCTGCCAAGTTCTTCCCCCCTTGGTTACTCGTGCTGAGTTGCGGTTTAGATCCAGACTCGGAACCCAGTCTTCAAAGCGTTGCAGGATGCGCAGGATAGCATGAAGCAACGATGAAGAACATGGGCATGGTGGCGGGGATTGTCCGATGCAATAAGTACATACTTGGTAGCTGCTGTATGTCGAGGGCCAAGGAATTCTCAGTTGCTCGTCGGGACCTACAACGGTGACTTACTCTCAAGTCCAGATCTCCACAAGGACTTGCTTGCACCATCTAATCGGTTGAAGTCCTCAGGAATGGCTGGAGGCGTATGAAACCGGTTGCATTGGACTCTTCTGATCAAAAATAAGAAATTTCAAGGCGAGAATTGGACACCAAAACCTTACAATAGCCCACCGCGAGGGTCGAACTCGCAGCCTTCAGATTCCTAAATCGCGAGGGTACGTCGGTATAAGAGTCTGACGTTCTATCCGATTGAGCTAGGCGGGGATGGGCCCGAACGGATGGAAGGTGAGGAGACGGTGGAACAGTTTCACGCAAGACGCACGCCAAATTTTTCTGGTGTGGCTTGGGTCGAGTTATCTGAGTACCTGATAAGCTTTCCTTGAGGAATAATTACCCTCTAAAAAAAACTACTCAGACTAGTAGTACTATTAGTATCCCCGTAGTTGCTGACACATGGTAGTTGCTCATGGTCGAAATACTCCCGGTACATATATAATCTGAAACTTCTGTGCCTCTGAGGCTTCAAGAATTCATGAAACACAGCTCTGTGCCAAATATCATGGGATGAGGAGCTGTGGTTGGCCCGCGGCGATCGATTTTATGACGGACCATCATCAAGTGGCTCAAATTCTTAATCTACGGTCACTTTTTGGCCTCGGGTTCGCTCATTCCCTCACAGTCTTCGTCGGGTGAGGGCCCATTCGAGGCGGAGGAGTCCACGAGTGATATATAGCAGCCTTTCCCATCATTTATTTTGGCCATTGCTTTGGTGAGACGGTGGAAACTGGCATCAACGCCTCAGCCAGGGGTGATTGTGTGGAAAGGCAACACCTGTATCTTACCGTCTGGAGGTGCTGTGGACGCACAAGTTTGAGGGAAACTCAAGGATGGATTCATGACTCCTCTAGGAGTCTTGTCCGATTTGAAAATGAATTATTAGTCCCACAAGACGGTCAGAGTAACATCACTGGTATTGTGATCTGATGAGGTTGGCCAGAAGAAAATTCACCACATTGTCAATTCCTCACCTGAACTTTTAAAACTCAACAGGGCCGAATGTTATGCTACTGAACGTCCTAGTACATGACGTCAGAGGAAATTTGATTTTCGCTGGCGGTTATTAGGGAGGAAGTGTTAAGGCGTGCAACTAAGGCCTAGGGCCACTGATAATACTGTTAGTAGTAGCTGTCTCAGTTCCGATTCCCAATCATCAGTCAATTTTAGTGAGAAGGAAGAAAAATAATCCGAGCAGGAACCGCATAAACAGCCCAAGAAAATACTTGAATGGCATGAGCAATCTACACTAACAAAACATGTTTGGTCCCAGCGCCTCGGCCTTCATCGTTTCGAGTTCCGGCCAGGAGGGCAGCCCGTAGAAGCCTGGCAATCGGTTCCAAAACTCCTCGAGAGTCGAACGGTGGTGCACCTGCAAACTCGTTGTGCACGCCGGACAAAATGTCCCAGTACCCGCCATAACATCACCTAGAACCGCGAGCAGCGCTAGTAGAGATACTTCTCCGATGGCTAGTGCTTCTTTGAGCATATTTGTCGAGGAAAGACGTCCTCTGATACAACGCGCTGGCTTCGTGCAACCGACAACGTCGATGGGATTGGTGGAGAAAGAACCCAGAGCAGCTGTGATTAAGGCTTTGGTCATTTTATCGTGACCCAACCAGAATTTTTCGTCCAGAATCGATGCTTTGCCGTCCAGAATCGACGCATTTTGCGCCAAGGAGAGCGCGATACTGTCGGATACCCGCAAGAACGCGTTCGGAAGAAGCCATAAGGCATTCACAGTTCGGGCGGTCTGTATAATTGGGAGGAATTGGTCTGAATCAAGCAGTGCGTCCCATGAAGACTGCGGGGAGGCCAACTCGGGTGTGGGCAGACTTGGCCGCGTTCCCAGCCAGTCATCCAAGGTTGTGAAATGGCCAGAGGAGAGGTGTACAAGCGCTCGACGATACAGCCCGTCGACCTCGTACTTATGAGCGAGGCCGACGCATGCCAAGATTGTGCGGATATCGGTGAGGTTGGGGAAGGAGGGGAAGGAGCTAGAGCGATATTAGCGAGGCCGACTCGGACTCGGAGAAGAGCTTACGACGGATGGAATATCGCATTTAGGAACGCAGTGGTGTCAGCCTCGTCGTCCGGAATGTGCACGAGCGGACATCCTTCCACGAGCTCCCGATCTGCTTGAGGTTGGGGCATTGCGAGCATATCGCGGAAAATCGGAGACCGCACAGACAGTATGCCGTGGAAGACCTTGTACTGAGTATTTCCTGCCTGCAGAACGATGCTCCCGTCCGAGAACCACAAAGATTCCGCGCGTTTTGGGGCATCGCCGTCTTTCATGGTGGCGAGTGACAAGCCTCAGTGTGGCTGTGTCGACCCAGATTCACACTGGTCACTGGCACGCACTCTAATCGTAACCCAAGAGAACACTTGTACTATTTCAACCTTAAGTTCGCGTAATGCAGATGCATAAGGTCAACGAAAAAAGAGGCCATTTTTATCCTCCTAAAATCAACAGATTTTTTGCGGGAGTCGGGACCGATCACTCGACAAAACCCTCCTCTAGAAGAGTCGGGGATAACTGAAATTATGGTCAAAATAGTCAAAGATTCTGCCTGGCATCCTCGTGAGCTCATTCAAGTTGAAAGGCCTCATGGTGCCGCCATGGCTATAAGTAAGCCTCCACTTTAATTCAATCCCATTCGCGACTCTCGCGAGTGCGGGCATCGTTTTAGAAGTTTCCTCCGATAGCAGGACGTGACTGGCATGAACGCGGGCTGTAGCTGAGATTCTAATTATTTCCGTCTGTGAACGTTTGTGCCGAAAACGATACTAGTCGTTTGTATTTTTTGTTTACAGACTCGACTCACTTTGAGGCCTCCACAAGCGATTCGCCCTCCTGTTGAGCGCGAAAAGAGTTTATTTATTTATTTACGGATTCAGGCCGCCTTGTGCCAAAAGACCCAACCGTGACGACGCAGGGGGGGGGAACGCCTGAACAGCGACTAACGGCGCGACAACTTGAATCCCAAGTCGGAGACTTGAATCTATGTTGTTAGCCTCGACATCCTCAAGCCTTGAAATCCAGCCAGATTGTAGGGCTCACCGCTGGAAGGTACGTACCCATGGCGTTCATATATCCATGCTACAGACATGCTACAGACATAGACATGTATGGCCCTCAGAACATGATTGGAGCTTGTTCGGAACTCGATCCAACCCGTACACAGTTGAAGGTCATCTCAAGCACGTCTCTGGTGCGGATGGTGCCTACCGTTTAAAGGTTTTGTTTAGCTACTAGCAGAATCGCGGATGAAAACTTGAAGGTAGCTCGGACCTGCTAAACATCTGGACCGTCGGCAAGAACCAGCGAAGACCGACCAGCGACGAGTGTCAGTGGGTCACCACACATAGTAGTCGCTCTCAATGCGACGCAAAGGGCTAGTGGTCTGCCGTGAACTTGGACAGGGTACCCACGGTGCCGTATATAGTGCGGGCCGGGTAGTATAAAAATGCAACTCGGCGCTCCGGTACCTGACGCCTGAGGGACGGCCACGTCGACAGCGTCATAACATGCTATGTATCGAGGCCGGGATTCAGTGCATCGTTCACGAAATGAAAGCGTATGACGAACCGTGCCTTGCACCGCTGCTGTTCGGATTTTGTATGCCTCCGCGACATCCTGCTGAGTTGACCATATCATTAGCTAATCAGCGTGAGGACGCACTCTTTGAGAGATTCTGGCTCGAGCTTTCGTTGGCGTTGCAGCAGAGTTCCGTGGAGGGACTCGAAGAGGACCGAGAGTCGTCTGTGGCCGCTTTTGACTGATTTTTTGTGCTTGAAACGCTGGATGGGCGTCGAACGGGTCCCATGTGGGTCAGAGACTCGGAGAAGCGTAAGAGAGGGCAGGACGGGCAGGACGGGCAGGAGACCGTGTCTGTCCTTGCATAGCGCGTTTTACTCGGTGCTCGTCGCCGAAACCGATTGAAGTAAGTACATGAAACAGTGTGTAGTGTACCCTCCAGTGAATGGTTGGAGGCTTACCTGGCTGTTCAGGCTCGGCGGTGTTTCTACGGCCAGCTACCTCGTTGCAAAGCTTCCCTGCCACTGGTGTGAATGGGCGCTGTTCTCGGCGCGGGTCTGGGAATTCAAAGAACCAGGCCCAGGGAAGCCAGCGCTGGCGTCGGCTGGCCGAGATCCTAAGCCAGAAATTAATTATCTGCGGGAGGCAAGCTGTTAATTATCAGGAGAGCAACCTGATGCGAGCCGCTGATGCGTCTTGCCATGAGGCGGTCAGCGTGATATCCGGGACCCTTCTTTACCGCGACCACCATCTCGACGACGGTCTCCTCTCAACGAACCCCCGCTCTCTCCATGGCTAGGTGTACAGCCCACTAGTTGCTCTGTATCTGCTCCACAGTCCCAGTCCGTCCGCACCCGCGCGCTGTCCTTTTTTTTTTTCGCATGATCTCATTCTCTCTTCTCAGATTCAGAACCTAGACTTTTGTCAGTTTCCCTGCCTCCCGCACGTCCCAGCACTCACCCAGCACGTTTTAATGCAGCATGATGGACATTGACGACGATGACGGGACGTCCCCCGACGACCAGCGTTTCGCATTCACGGCCTCTTGTGCCCACGACTTCGGCGGTGTATATCCATCCCCGCCTCCGACAGGCTCGCAGTCGAGCCGGAGCGTACCCCTTCCCATGAACTACATTCACCCATTCGCGATCGGCGGCATCCTCGACTCACCCATCGTACTCACAAAAACTACCTCGCCCTTGTCTCCGCCTCCCACGATAACACCACCCACGCGAGCCCTCCCAGACTCATCCTACGATGCCTCTCTGTCCCTCCTCCTCCCCATTCCAGAACATTCGACCCCCGAGTCACACCTGCTATCGCCTATCTCCCCAGAATGGCCTTCCCACCGCCCAGACGAGCTCTTCAGCGACTCGACAGAGAGCGCCAGCGTGCTCATGTCGCAGTTTACGGGCGGCTATCCTGTGGGCGCCTATGTCCCGGAGAATGATGGCGCGACGCGGGTGTCCGACTCACTCTCCCCACTGGACCTTCATATCCACCACGATGAGCCTCAGGAGGATCCAATGCGCTCGAGCCTCTTGGGCTTATCGGAGTTTGACGACGACGACGCGACCACTCCCTCCATGTCTTCTACGGAGCACGACGACTTCATGCCATCGCCCCCACTCTCCCCGGAGCACCTTTCGCCATATCACTCTCCAAATGT